GGAAGAACTTCAGCTACTCAGTCCTGAGGGGAAGACGAAGTCATGGCAAAAGCAAGCACTGAAGAGATACAGAAAACATTCCATAATTGAAACTGACTTTTATTCTGCCTTGCTAAATACTTTTAGAGCTATTTTTGAAGTGAACACTTTAAATAGTCACCCCCCACCCCAAATATTCAGGACTTGTACATCAGTCACAACAAACAATGACAAACACTCATACAACACTTACATAAAGCAAGCACTCTCCTAAGCACTTTACATATATTTGCTCACTCTGCCCCTCTTTGCTAATCTGTGTTTCATGAGCAATCAGAGGCCCAAGGTCACACAGTCTGCCAGAAAGTGGCAGAGCGGGGATTCAAGTCAGGCAGTCTGGCAGCATCAGGGTCCATGCTCTCAATTATTATACTAACCCTCTTTCCAGAGGAGTTTAACACAGATGATCCTTTTTAAACACAGGACTTTTAAGTTCACTAAGCCTATACTAATTCATTTTGCAAGGTGAGAGGACTTAACAATTTAAAAATTTTAACTGGAGATACTGTTAAGTGGCAGCAAAGTCAACGTTGATCAGTCGTGATAAATACTCACACACAAAGCATTGGGGGTGCTGTGGTTTGAATGTCTCCTCCAAAACTCATGTTGAAATTTAATTGCCAATTTAAAGGCATTGGGAGGTGGGCCTTTAAGAAATTATCAGGTCATGATAATTTCTTAAAGGCCCCACCTCCCAATGGGGTTGTTTATCTCATGAGTGGGCTCCTGAAAAAAACTAAGTTTAAGCCCTTATTCCCTCTCCTGTGTGAGCCTTCTCATCATGTGCTGCCTTCCACCAGGTTACAACACACAGCAAAAAGACTCTCAACAGATCGGAGCACCGTGGTCTTACTCTTCCCTGCCTCCAGAACTGTGAGAAATAAATTTCTTTTCTTTATAAATGACCCAACCTGAGGCATTCTGTTATAGAAGCTCAAAATAGACTAAGACAAAAAATGGATACCAAGGAGTGGGGCTGTTTCCATAACAAACACCTAAAAATGTGGCCATAGCTTTGGAACCAGGTAATGGGCAGAGGCTGGAAGAATTTGGAGGAGGCAGCCAGAAACACCCTAAATTGCCATGAATGATGCATCAAGGGCAATTATGGTGAGAACTCAAAAGAAGAGGGGAGCTGTAGGAGAAGGTCTGAATCTTCTTAAAAATTACTCAAGGGGGGCTGGCTCGGTGGCTCACGCCTGCAATCCCAGCACTTTGGGAGGCCAAGGCGAGCAGATCACCTGAGATCAGAGTTCAAGACCAGTCTGGCCAACATGGCGAAACCCTATCTCTACTAAAAATATAAAAATTAGCTGGGCATGGTGCCATATGCCTACAATCCCAGCTACTTGGGAAGCTGAGGCAGGAGAATCACTTGAAACTGGGAGGTAGAAGTTGCAGTGAGCCGAGATCATGCCACAGCACTCCAGCCTGGGCAACAGAGTGAGACTTTGTCTCAAAAAAGAAACTACTCAAGTGGTCACAACCAGAATGTTAGCAGTAATTGGATACTACAGGCCATTCTGATGAGGTCTCAGACAGAAATGTAAAAGAAGGTATTAGAAAATGGAGTAAAGGTTATTCTTGTTAGACAGCTGCAAAGACCTTGGCAAATTATGTCCATGTCCTAGAGCTTTATGGAGTGCAAAACTTAAGAGCAATGAACTAGGATATGCGGTGAAAGAAATCTCTAAGCAGTAAAGCATTCAAGCTGCTGTGTGGTTACTTTTAATTGCATAAAATGAGATGTGAGAGCAGAGAGATGATCAAATACAGTTGACCACTGAACACATGGGTTTGAACTCTGAGGACATACTTTATACCAAAATTTGTTCTTTTCTTTTGAAACAGGGTCTCAGCCATCTGTCATCCAGGCTGGAGTGCAGTGGTGTGATCATGCCTTACTGCTGCCTCAACCTCTCAGGCTCAAGTGATCCTCCCACCTCAGTCCCAAGTAGCTGGGACTACAGGCACATGCCACCACACCTGGCTAATTTTTGCAGAGATGAGATTTTGCAATGTTGCCCAGGCCGGTCTCCTGGGCTCAAGTGATCTGCCCAGCTTGGCCTCCCAAAGTGCTGGGATTACAGGTATGAGCCACGACACCCAGCCAAGGATTTTTTCAATAAATACAGTTGGCCCTCCATATCACTGGGTTCCACATTCACAGCCAAATGCAATATAGTATTTGCAGGACGCAAAACCCTTGCACATGGAGGACTGACTTTTCATATCCATGGGTTTCACAGGCTGGAGTATGTATGGATTTTGGTATGAGGGAGTGGTCCTGGAACCAATCCCTTCCCACACCGCTTACCCTCGGCAGATACTGAGGGATTATATAGTTAAAAGAGAAGCAAAACAGTAGAATTTGGAAAATTCTTGCATGGCCATGTAAAGAGTGGAAAAGTATGTTCAAGAGGGAATATTAAGTGTATGGTCAAACAAGCTATTGCTCAAGCATGGCTAGAAGGAAGCCAGGTGCTATCAATCAAGACAATGGAAGAAAGACCTCAAAGGCATTTCTGAGATCTCTCGACTACCCCTCCCATCACAGACCCAGAGCTCTAGGATGGTAGACTGGTTTCAGGAGATGGATAGCATTCCTTGGCCTCCCCAGCCATGACTCAAACAGCTTCAGGCATGGCTCCAGAATGCAAGTCCTGCAGGGCATGGCTTCTTCCATCTAGATTTCAAAGAATGCCAGGGACTGCCTGGAGGCCCAGACAGAGACCTATTGCAGGATAGAGCCACTGCAGACAGCTCCCATTAGGACAATGCCCAGTGGGACTGGCTGCCACAGAGTCCCCAGTAGGGCAGTGCCTTGTGGAGCCATGGGAGTGAGCCACTGTCAACACCCCAGAACTGTAAATCCACCAGTATACAACTCCAACCCATGAGAGATGCTGAGTGGACTGAGCCCAGCAAAGTCACAGGGGGTGGGGCTTCTGAGGTGCTGGGAGCCCAACTCCCATCCCAGTGTGCCCAGGACGCAGAATGTGGGGTAGATGGAGATATTCTCCATCTTTACGACTTAATGTCTCCCCTGTTGTATTTTGACTTATCAGGGATCACTTACTCCTTTCTTCTTGCCTATTTCTTCTTTTGGAATGGTAATGTCCATCAAACACCTTCCTACCATAGCATTTTGGAAGTAGATGACTTGCATTGATTTCACAGGCTCACAGTTGAAGAGAATTTGTCCCAGAATGAATTGTACCTTATAAATCTCACCCATGGCTGATTCAGATTGGACTTTTGAGTTGATGCTAGACCAAGTTAAGACTTTGGGGGCTACTGGGATAGAACAAATGTATTCTATATATGAGAAGGACATGAGTTGTTTTTTGTGGGGAGGTGGGTAGGGGCAGAATGCTAAGGTTTGAATGTCCCCTTCAAAACTGATGTTGAAATTTAATTGGCAATGTCATGTTATGGGAGATGGAGCCTTTAAGAGGTCATTAGGGCTCTGCCCTCATGAATGAATTAATGCTCTATCACAGAAGTGGGCTCTAGGTCAAACAACGGGCTCCTGATAAAAGGATAAGTTCGGCTCCCATTCCCTCTCAGAGGCATGCACTTCTTCTCCATGTGATGCCTTCTGCCAGGGATGGTGCAGCAAGAAGGCCCTCATCAGATGCTGACACCATGCTCTTGGACTTTCCAGCCTCTATAACTGGTGAGAAATAAATTTCTTTTCCTTATAAATTGCCCAGTCCAAATATTCTCTCTAGTGTAGACAGGGTTATGAAAACTAAGAAACTCAAAAAGCCTGGAAGGCAATAAAGGAAAACCCTGGGGCTGTTGTACCTAACATCAGCCACACTTCCTATCAATTCTTTCTCCTCAATTCACTCTCTTATGAATGGGTGCCTCCCTCTTTTGTCCCACTGCTATTATTGCTTAAATTCAGGCCTTCAACATCTCATAGTCCAGTTATTCCAGTGATCTCTGGTTTGTAGTCACAACTCTCCTCCATGCCCCAGCACCTAATCTCTCCTGAGCTGCTAATGGAATAGTCTTTCTGAGAGACAAATGTGATCATATTACACCCCTACTTAACTTCAGTGCTTCAAAAAGCCAATAAATTCTAGTCCCACCATCTTTATGCAAAATCAAAGGCTATCCACCCCAGGATTTCCTCTGCAACCTCTGCTTGCAGGCTCAGAAAAATACTAAGATAACTCATTCCCCTTTCACTCTGTTTACACTGGCCCTCTGCTGGGAAAAAAAAAAAAATCTACCTTCCCTATCCCCATTCATCCACCTGAGGACCATTTATCTATTCATCACTTTCCATACAGTTCTTCCAACACCTCCTCCTACCAACAGAACACATAATTTTCCCCTTTGTGTCCTCAGAGTACCACATATATAATGATTCTTTTATAGTGTCAGTAACAGTGTCTTCCTATTTACCAATAATGTTGAAATAAACCTCCTTGCATCTTTAGGCAGAAATCCAGAATGGGACTGCTGGATCAGAAAGTATATATAATGCTAACTGCTCTCCAAAGGTTGTTCATTTTATTCTTTCAACAATATTTGTTTCCTACACATTCAATAAAGGATTTTCCAATGTTCTTTCTCTGTTAATCTGACAGGTGAGAAATAATAACTCATAGTTTTATTCTGGGTGTCCTGTGGTGAATGAAAGAACATCTGATTGAAGAGGAGTTATACTCAGGATGACTTATGGAAACAAAAGGGCTGAAGCAATAACAGAAATTTGGTGACAATTTGCTTCAAGTCAGTGGTTCTCATGATGGTGATCTGGAGACAGAAGAAGTAAGAGGCTTCACCACAATGGGTTCCTATCATACTGCCAAATTACAATACTAAATAAATGACAGAAAGTTTAGAAAAGTAAGGCATTTTCCAATCGGCAAGAAGTTAAGAGAGAGTGCAAGACCTTAACCGACAATTCCCAGAAATCCAGCTTACCCACAGCTTCAACTCACCATCAAGGAGCCAGTGTTGGCCACGCCTGTTCTCCAACTCGGACATCATTAGGCGTGTGATCACATGGTCTGGAACCAAAAGACTTTTCTCTATGTACTGCTTTGCCATCTCACCAACTTCTATTAAAAAGACAAGAAAAAAACAGGTATTCAAGAAAACTTCCCAAACAAAAAGCTCACCAACGCTTTTCTGACAGTTTCGCCTTCTCTCCGTTCTTCTTGATATGGGAGGAAATTCTTAGGTAGTTGTAGGTATGTTTTTAGTTTTTAAAATATTCACCTCAATAAGTGGGACTGTTGCCTAACATTTATCTCCCAAAAAACTAGAAAAGCAGCTTTTTGAGACAGCATAGCACCCCCCTGACCTCCCCCGCCACACACACACACCAAAAAAAGGAAGAAAGAAAGAGTGGCCAGGTATGGTGGCTCATGCCTGTAATTCCAGTACTTTGGGAGGATGAGGTGGGAGGATCACTTGAGCCCAGAAGTTTAAGCCTGCAGTGAGCTCAAGCGTACTGATTGTGCTACTGCCTCCCAGCCTGGGCAACAGGAGGAGACCCTTTCTCCAAAAAAGAAAAATACATTAACTGGGGAAGAAAAAAATAAGAGTAGAAAATAAAGTCAAGAAGAAGGATGATACATAAAAGATATAGAGAAACCCTGGATAATTCCTAGAGGTAAGCCACAAATTGGGCACTGTGCCTCTCAACAGTTTATGGTAACAAAAAAACATGATCAACCACACAGTGTACAGAAGACTAAAGGAAGATGAGAAGCACAACCATTCTTTAGAGAGACCAAAGGAAACAAGTTCCAGTCTAAAAAGAATGCCACATAATACAAACAACAACAGCTTTACGTCTTTTCATAAACTTCAATATAAGAAGATGGCACCTTACTGACATAGTTGTAAAAAGCAACACAGTGTTATTAGTGGAATGCCAAATTCATAAAAGGATGTGAAGTTTTAACAAAACCACACAAATACTTTCAGGGGAAAACTGCTTCTATCTTCATTTAAAATATTAATTTCCTATATGTAGAAACTGTGAGTTGCATTTAGTAAAACAAACTGTCAGTTTAAATCTGTACATTTCCAAGAACTAAATTTGTGTTTTATTATTTTTTTTTAACCACAAGTGAAATCCTCTGCTCTTGGGGTAACTGATAATGAACCCTTAAGAATCACATTCTAGACAGACCAACTCAGTTCTTTTAAAACACCAAGATCCAGGTATGATGGCTCATGCCTATAATCCCAACACTTTGGGAGCTTGAGGATCACCTGGGATTATGAATTTGAGACCAGCCTGGCCAACATGGCGAAACCCTGCCTCTATTAAAAATACAAAAATTAGTCAGGTGTGGTGGTGGGCGCCTGTAATCCCAGCTACTCAGGAGAATTTCACGAACCCAAGAGGTGGAGGTTGCAGTGAGCCAAGACCGCGCCACTGCACTGGATGGCAGAGCAAGGCTCAGTCTCAAAAAAAAAAAATTAGCTGGGCATGGTGGTGGGCTCCCGTAATGTCAACTGCTCAGGAGGCCGAGGCAGGAGAATCACTTAAACCCAGGAGGCAGAAGTTGCCATGAGCCAAGATCATACCACTGCACTCCAGCCCAGGTGACAGCGAGACTCCATCCCCAAAAAATAAATAAGTAAAAATAAAAACACAAAACAGAATTATATTACTAGAAAAAGGCTCAAGAATCATTTGGCACCACCCACTTACTTTTTTTTTTTAATTTTTTTAGCCACAGAGCCTCGCTCAGTCGCCCAGGCTGGAGTGCAGTGGCGCAATCTCGGCTCACCACAACCTCTGCCTCCCAGGTTCCAGCGATTCTCCTGCCTCAGCCTCCCGAGTAGCTGGGATTACAGGTGTGCATCACCACACAAAGCTAATTTTTGTATTTTTAGTAGAGAGAGGGTTTCACCATGTTGGCCAGGCAGGTCGCCAATTCCTGACTGACCTCAAGTGATCCACCCACCTTTGCCTCCCAGAGTGCTGGGATTACAGGTGTGAGCCACCAGGCCTGGCCTCCCCATTTTCACCTTTAATTTAGGTAGAGCCCTTGCTTCCCCAGATTCAGTCTGTTCACCACAACCTCAACTTAAGCACTGAAGATATGCGCTGTGAAGAGCTCCGTATCTCTTGGGTACCACCACTAGACAAGAAGCTCAAAATGCAGACCCAGTGATGCGGATTCACGAACACGCTGCAAGAAGTGAAACAAGAAAGACAGCCACATTGGTGTATGTGACTGAACATGAATGTGAACGAGCTACATTCATTCTACAAGTACGATATTTAATGACTGCATACCCCATAACAGGTCATATTCTAGAGATGTAGCAGTGAATAAAAGTTCCAGCTTACAGATATTTAAGCAGTACTACTTTAAGAGAGACAATAACCATTAGTTGAGTGCATGCTATATCCCAGGCACTGGACTTTAAGTGCTTTCTGTAATTTCATTTCATTTAATCTTCTTAAGATCCTCACCTTCAGATAGAAGGTAATGCCAGCATTTTTTATACAGCTTTACTGTACTAATTCACACACTCTAACATCAGCCATTTTAGAAAGTACAACTCAGCAGCTTTCTGTATACTCTTAATGTTGTGCAACCATCACCACTCCCTAATTTCAGAACACTTTCATTACTTCAGAAAGAAGCCCTGCCCCATCAGCAGTCACTCCTTATTCTCTTCTCCCTCCAGCCCCCACCAATTACTAATCATTCTGTCTCTATAGATTTGCCTACTCTGGACACTTCTTATAAACAGATTCATACAGTTTTCTGTGACTGTTTTCTTTCACTTAGCATAATGTTTTCAAAGTTCATTCATGTACCACATACCAATATTTCATTCCTATTTATAGCTAAATAACATTTCATTGTATGGTTAAGCCACATTTTAGTCATATATATACATTAGTTAACGGATATTTGGCTTGTCTTCTACTTTTTGGCTACTATGAATCATGCTGCAGTAAAAGTCTGTATACATTGTCAGACTGGACGTTTTCAGTTTTCTTGCGAAGTACCTGTGTTGTATCTATGTTCTACGCCTAAACAATCACTATCAGAAAAGATGCATGGAGTAACTGACGATTTGGATGCTGTCCTACTCTGCAATAGTCACGCCAGGCCCAGAGCCTCATTCTTAGCCTTATCCACCAAACTTTAAAGTAGATAAACAGCAAATATAAATCTTCCAAGGTGAAAGACCAAAATGTGCACTTTGCCTTGTTTTCTAGAACTCTAGATCTAATTATATATTAAGGTATTTGTTCACTAACTTTCTGCCCTCTCTACTAGAAATTATTAGCTCAGTGAAGGAAAAGTTAAAATAGTTTGTTCAATGCCACATCCTCAGTGCTTAAAATATTGTCTGGCATAGATCAGATGCCCCATAAAAATGTGTTCCATGGGCCAGGCTGATGGCTCACACCTGTAATCCCAGCACTTTGGGAGGCCAAGGTGGGTAAAACACTTGTGGCCAGGAGTTTGAGACCAGCCTGGGCAACATAGCGAAACTCCATCTCTACTAAAAATACAAAAAATTAGCCAAGTATGGTGATGCACACCCGTAATCCCAGCTACTTGGGAGGCTTAAGGCACAAGAACAGTTTGAACACAAGAGGCAGAGGTGGCAGTGAGCAAATATCACACCACTGAACTACAACCTGGGCGACAGAATAAGACTCTGTCTCAAATAATTAAATTTACATTTAAAAATTTTAAGAATATATTGCATGAATGAACACCCTGAAGATAAGAGAATTTTCTTTTACTTGGCAAAAATCAATCTGATTTTCTTGCAGTTATTACAGAACCATTATCTCAAGACCACATATGGCCCAACCTCACCAGATAGGAAACTTTTGAAAAGAGATATGACACAAGCAAAGTGTGATCATAACTAGTTAAGATGGTCATATTAGGCCAGGTGCAGTGGCTCACACCTGTAATCCCAGCATTTTAGGAGGCCAAGGCAGGAGAATCACCTGAGGTCAGGAGGTTGATACCAGCCTGGCCAACATGGTAAAACCTGTCTCTACTAAAAATATAAAAATTCACCAGGCTTGGTGGCACACACCTCTAATTCCAGCTACTAAGGCAGGAGGGCTTGAGCCCAAGAGGTGGAGGTTGCAGTGAGCCAAGATCATGCCAGCCTGGGGTGACAGAGCAAGACTTCATCTCAAACAAACAACAACAAAAAAACCAGTCATATTCAGTTTCACAGCCCAGTCTTATTTCTGCAGCATTTTAAAACATGAATAGAAGTGAACCAGGTTGGGTAGGGGAAATGAGAAGAAGGAAATACCAACAGCAAATGTTGAGGAGGTGTGGGGCCATTTGGTATACGTGGAGGAACTTCTTCAAGCACTGACACTCAAAGAAAAGCACACCAGTAAGAGATGGTGTTCGATGGGCAGGATAAGGAGTGTGAACTTTGAGGAATTTGAAGTCGTTTTAGAAATGCTATTTCTAGAGCCAAGACCAGCTACTGAAATCGTAGGGACTAGCGCAAATTGAAAATGTGCCTCTTGGAAAATGAAGAGTTTTGAGATGACAACAGCAGAACACTAAACGCAGAGCCTTATGTGCCTACAAAGGGTACAGGCACACAGCAATGTGATACTTGGATATAGGTGGCATAGTGGAAGCAAAAGAGGCTACGATAATAATCCAAGCACAAGATGAAGGCCTGAACTAAAGCAGAAGCAGTGGAGGAAGACCTTCATGTGCCCCTTGAGAGAGAACCTTGAGTTAATCCAACACAAGCAGTACAACCTCAAGTTTAAAATAACTCTGTGGAAGACTTCCAGAGGCATCTCACTCCAATTTACTACTTGAGAAATCTAAGTGTAGCATACTCTTCCAGCTATTCCTGCCAGCCTTGGCTCCTCTCCCAAGCAGGACAAGCAACATGTCCTCTAACCTAATACATAATCAGACTTATCCCACATATCTCAATATCCACTACGAAAACCCAGAAAGATCCCCAGACAAAGCAAAATGGCCTTAACATATCTGCATCTGAATGAAAACCTCATGACAACAGCAAACTGCAAGAAAACAACCCATCCAACTGAGGCCCATTTCGGAAAACTGGACCTTCATTTGCCCTTGTCGGTGTGCTTGGAAGAGAAAGCAGCATCATTAAAGGCTGATGATAGTATGTTTGGACATACCTGCTCTAATTTATCAAGTAGTATTCCGAAGAAAGGCTGTGGACACACATACATAGTCTCACACAGCTTCTGAATCCTGAGTGTGTTCACATACACACACACCACACAAATAATTCAGAAAGCACTAGGAAGGTCTCAAATAAATGTAGTAAATATAGGGTGCCCAAAACAGGCCAATAGCTTTGCCTTTTTCTTAAGTTTCACAACAAAACCAACAGATAGATCCATCACGTGTTTATCAGGTTAAACAAAACACCAATAATTAAGTCAACATATACAAAAACTTCATGAAGGGAAAGATGAAGCATCAGATTACAAACATTATATATAATAAAATTATGTGTCATATAGAGAGAAAGACAGATGGATAGTATCATCCACAATGTTAAGAATATTATAAGAAAATGTTCCACTCATCTTACAACAATATAAATCTTGTGGCAATTCATCTTAACAACCTATTCCATTCAATCACTACTGAATTCAAATAGTTATAATCTTGGTAACCTTGAGAAATATACATTTTCAATTTCTAACTACATCAGATAATATATAAATTTTCAGAATTTAAGACTATCTATTAAACTGTGCATTTTAAGATAACAGAGAACTGAAGACTATCTATTAAGTTGGTCATCTCTCCAAAGTCATGCTTCCAGGATATGGAAAGATATTTCATCAGCCTCAATTCCTACATATTAAAAGTTGTCCACATTTACATCAATAGACTGAAATAGTTCATTGTATTCAGGGTGGCACATATGCCAAAACACTGTCTACTACTGAAGGATTAGGATGTTGGACTTACAATCTGCATTATCTTAAGGCTAGTTAAAAAGAAAATACCTCAGCCAGGCATGTGGCTCACGACTGTAATCCCAGCACTTTGGGAGGCTGAGGACAGCAGATCAGGAGGTCAGGAGTTTGAGACCAGCCTGGCCAACATAGTGAAACCCTGTCTCTATTAAAAATATAAAAATTAGCCAGGCATGGTGGCAGGCACCTATAGTCCCAGCTACTCAGGAGGCTGAGGCAGGAGAATTGCTTGAACCCAGGAGGAAGAGGCTGCAATGAGCCGAAACTGTGCCACTTCATACCAGCCTGGGCAACAGAGTGAAAGTACGTCTCAAAAAAAAAAAAAAAGAAAGAAAGAAAGAAAATATCTCTAAGTAGAAAGAAAATACCTCTAAGTACAAGAGCCCATAAGCAGATGATATTTCCTTAGAAAAACCATAAGAACACAAAGACACACACACATATTTATATAGCACAAAATCCATTCTACAGCAACCCTAAATACTCTGGACAGTCAGCATAAACACTGCAGAGACTGAATGACTCTCAAAAAGGAGTAAAATTGGCCAGGCACAGTGGCTCACACCTGTAATCCCAGCACTTTGGGAGGCAGAGATTGGGTGAACTTCCTGAGCTCAGGAGTTCAAGATCAGACTAGCCAACATGGCAAAACCCCTAAAAAATACACAAAATTAGCTGGGCATGATGGCGCACGCCTGCAGTCCCAGCTACTTTGGGGGCTGAGGCAGGAGAATTGCTTGAACCCAGGAGGCAGAGGTTGTAGTGAACCAAGATCACACCACTTCCCTCACTCCAGCTTGGGCGATAGAACAAGACTCTGCCTCAAAAAAAAAAAGAAAAAGGAAAAAAAAAGGATCCAAAATGCAGAAGGCTGATTTTGATCTTGAAATGAGAAGGGAAAAAAAGTACACTGTTCCCTTTGAGAATATAGGGTATGGTTAGTTTTGTGGTTTGAATACTCTTTAAATCCACTAAATACTCATTCAGCTGATATTTATTAAGCATCTATGTGCCAGGCCCTGTATCAATTTAGCATGAGACCTGTTCCAGAGCTCAGAGTCTTAAACACTGGGATTGGGTACTGCTAATCCACCAAAAGCTTTCAAAAGCAAAAGTTTATGGAATTTTACTCTGTCAGGCAGAAAAATTAAACAGCCAGTAGTTATCACAAGGTACAGAGGCTCTTACGCTGCCAATAGAGTTCTACATAAATACATTATGAAATAGGAATAGGCTATAGGTCACAAACAAAATGAAATGTTTAGTCAAACATTCGATCTGCCAGCCAATTCACCTTTCACTACTGAAGAGATTATCTCTAAAATACTAGTCCAGGGTTACAGAAAGCCAACCGGGTTACCCTAGTTTCTGGACACCAGAGACAAAAAGATTTGTTTTAATAAAAGTGGTGATTAACACCGCAAAATAATGGACCTTAGTTAGGTAAAATCCATCAACTGGAATGAAAATTCTCTCAGGATCAAATCTCAACTACTAATACTTTAAAGCAAAGGCAAATGAGGTTTTTTTTTGTTTTTTTTTTTTTTATCTCAATGTCTTCTCTCTTTGTCACATGCTTTTCTTCAATAAATAACCCAGGCAGGGCTGACAATGACAAGTGTGTTTTGTGACACAGGAAAACAAAAGTACATACCAGAAGTCAGCTGTCCAGTGATCCATGAGAGAGCTACTCCTGTATCACCCCAGATCATCACCTCTATTCCAAAGCCCTTCCAATTACAACCACGCTGAAAATCCTGAGCACACCACTTCTCTAACCAAAATTTTCTGCAAAGTCTATGCAGCAGGCACCACACATGGCGCTAAAGATACAAACATGGTACCCTTGAACTGGGTGTGGTAGCTCACACCCATAATCCCAACACTTTGAGAGGCCAAGACAAGAGTATCCCTTAAGGAGTTCAAGACCAACCTGGGCAACATATTAATAGCAATAAAAAATTTATTTTTTTATAAAAAATCTCTATAAAAAATTTAAAATTAGCTAGATATGGTGGCACATACCTGTAGGCCCAGGGACTCCAGAGACTGAAGCGGGAGGATCACTTGAGCCCAGGAGTTCCAGGGTGCAGCAGGCTATGACTGCGCCACTGCACTCCAGCCTGGACGAAGAGAAAAAATTAAAAATACACTGAGCAACTACTCTGTGCCCGACTGGCACATTTCCCTAAATATCAGAGAAACGACAAAGGGAGGGTGCATCAGAAGTTACCTGTGATCTTCTTCAGATCGCTTGACCAAACATCAAACAGATGACAACTTGGCCTATCACAACAAATTCAAGTTATAGGAATGGCTTCCTATCATTTATTGGCACAACCCAAAAATAAAAATAATAAAGGCTTAATTCTGGCCGGGCACAGTGGCTCACACTTGTAATCCCAGCACACTGGGAAGCCGAGGAGGGCAGATCACCTGAGGTCAGGAGTTTGGGACCAGCCTGGCCAACAATGGTGAATCTCCATCTCTGCTAAAAATACAAAAATTAGCCAGGCATGGTGGTGCACACCTGTAGTACTAGCTACTCAGGAGGCTGAGGCAGGAGAATCACTTGAACCCATGAGGCAGAGGTAGCAGTGAGCAGAGGTAGAGATCGCACCACTGCACTCCACCCTGGGCGACAGCAAGACTGTCTCAAAAAAAAAAAAAAGGCTTCATTCTATATGTTTTTGTCTAAGGAGTCTGCTGATTTATGTAGAAGTCTAACGTAGACACAATTATAAAATATAATGTTGAGGGCACATTCATATGCAGAAGTACATGGTAAAGCAAGAGAATAATTACCAGATGCAGGATAGTGCTGGAGGAGAGAGACTGAGAACGGAGCTATGGGGGCTTCAAGGGTACTGGTAACATTCTGTTTCTTAGGCCGGTGGTAGATACACAATTGTTATCCTTTACAACACCCACACACCCACACATCTGTATCCTCTTTTTGTTCTGACCATCTATAAAGTGAAGGCAAACTGGATACACAAGACAGAACTGAATGAATGTTCACAAAACAGCAAATTCCCAAGATGCCTGGCTAAGTCACCAGAGATAATTACTCAATGTTCTTTTCACTGTTCTAACTAGAAAATGCTGAGTGAAACACCCCTGTAAACGAGCTCAATTCCCTTGTAAGACTGTTCTACCCTGAAGTATCAGACTGTGTAAGGAAAAGAACCAGGAGAAACCTTGCTCACCCTGGTATCATCCTTTCACCAAAACATCACTGATAATGGCAGTGCACACACACGCATTTCAAGAGGGCTGGTCAAAAATGAACGGTATAGCTTTGTGATTCTTCAAACTGTAAGTTCCTTAACTCCCCACTTGTAAGAAGATTTTGGCACTGAAGTAGTTATTTGGGGAAAAATACAGTGAAGAAAAACTTCATTCTACAAGTTATCCCTAACATGACTTTGATGAATCTCTTCCAGTAAGAAAATAAGCTTTAAAAAAAAACCCAAAAAATCTTGGTTAAAAAAAATAAGATGTCAAAGTCCTTTAGAGGAAGAACTTACAGAAGAAACTCCTAAATTTAAGGTGTTTTAGCACTTAACTGAGTCAAGGGTCCAGTATCCACCCTTCAATTAGTCTTTGTTCGAAGCTTGACTTTCTTTTCCTTCACACCAAAAATACAGTTTTAAATCACTGTCTGACTCTTGCTATGGGTAACTATAAAGAAAACACATCACCCTCCTGAGTGGCTGGGACCACAGGTGTATGCCAGCATGTCTAATTTTTGTTTTTTTTGAGATGGAGTTTCGCTCGTTACCCAGGCTGGAGTGCAATGGCGCTATCTCGGCTCACTGCAACCTCTGCCTCCTGAGTTCAAACACTTCTCCTGCCTCAGCCTCCTGACTAGCTGGGACTACAGGCACGCACCACCATGCCCAGCTAATTTTTTTTTTTTGTATTTTTAGTAGAGATGGGGTTTTACCATGTTGCCCAGGATGGTCTCAATCTCTTGACCTCGCGATCCACCCACCTCGGCCTCCCAAAGTGCTGGGATTACAGGCTTGAGCCACTGCACCCAGCCCTAATTTTTGTATTTTTATTAGACATGGGTTTCACCATGTTGCCCAGGATGATCTCGAACTCCTAAACTCAAGTGATCCTTCTGCCTCAGTTTTCCAAAGTAATGGGATTACAGGCATGAACCACAGAGCCCAGCCCAAATAAAATTCTGAATCCAGTATAACTGGTGAAATACATACTCTTTAGAGCCAGACTGCCTGAGTTCAAATCCTGGCACCACTACTTAAAGGCTGTAAGACTTTGGTTACATATGTTTTTGCCTAAGTCAAGTTTGTGCCTCAGTTTCCTCATCAATAAAATGGGAATGGTATCACTTAGAGTTGTTTTAAAAGTTGTACGTGATTAATGTGTATAAAGGACTTGGAATCATGCTGCTTTGCAAATTTCATTCAAGAACATGGAGATACGAAGTATTTGTTTCTATGTGCCAAGGGTTGTTCTAGACCATTTTTTTATTTTTGTTTTGGAGACATGGTCTCACTCTGCCACCCACGCTGCAGTGCAATGGCATGATCACAGCTCACTGCAGCCTTGACCTCCCAGACTCAAGTGATCCTCCCTGCCTCAGCCTCCAGAGAAGCGAGACTACAGGCACACCACACCTGGCTACTTCTTTTTTCTTCTATAGAGATGGGGGTCACATCAATGTTGCCCAGGTTGGTCTCAAACTCTTGGGCTCAAGTGATCCTCCTGCCTGGGCCTCCCAAACTGCTGGGATTACAGGCATGAACAACCACACCTAGCTGACTCTAAACAGTTTATATACATGAACTCATCAAATGCTCACAAATATCTATGAAGTCTAAGATATGATTTTCCTTATTTCTTAGAAGAGGAAACTGAAACATAGAGAACTTAAGTAACTTGCCCAAATAAGTCACATGGCCTAGGCTCAACTTCAAGCAGGTTGGCCCAGTCCATTTTCTTAATCACTACTCACTGCCTCTCAATGCTTGTGAGCATTTCCTTGAACAGAAATGCTTTGCGTGTTAGCATATACGCTGCTGAAATATGAAGCTAGCACCTGTATAAAAGGGACAGGTTCTTACTAAAGAACCGAGCTCCTGACTGTAAGGAAATATCTGGTCCTGCTCTGTATAACCACTGCTTCCTTTAGGCACTGTATCTCTAGCTAAAAACTTATACCAAGTGTTTCTATGCAGCTGCTTCCTACCAAACTATGAGCATCCTATAATTCCATTCCTCCTCACCAGTCAGCTTCCCTTCCTCTCTCCCAGACCTTCTCCCTCCCGCAATCCATCCCAGACACCACTCTCAGAGAGAACTTCCAAAAACACAAGGCAGCACGTATATTGCTACCTCGCTCACAGCAAAATGTGTTCCTTGGCTTGCAGGATGGCATGGATGAATACTCCTTAGGATAACATTCCAAGCCTCTCTGAACTGGCTACTATTGCTCAACTTCACCTCCCACCCTCATTTCCTTATCATTCATCCTTTGACCCTTGTCTGTGCCAGGCACAGAGTCAAGCGTGACTATGGTTCTTACCCTCCAGCAATCTACAGTCTCATGGAGTAAAGACAGGACAGAATACAGAGGTGGATACCCCAATCTAACCTGAGGTCCAAAAGAAGCTTCCCAGTCTGGAGTCGGGCTTCTGAAGGGCTAGTAAAAGTTGCCTGGAAGTCACACCCTTCAGTTTGTGTGTTCCTCTCAGAGGCTTTTCCTGATCATTTTCTCCTATGTTACCTTGAGAGTTAATCCCCTCTTCTGTAATCCACCAGCACATGAGCTAAAGCTAGTCCATTCGGCATCTGTACTACAGAGGTGCTCCCTCTGGGCAGGGGCAGCCCTGTGGGTCCCCAGCTGACTAAACACATTGTGACTCTGCACACATTTCAAGATGCTCATTTCTCCAGGCAGTCTCAGCTGTGTGCTGGGGAAACACAGCTTGGTGGGTAGAACCAGGGTTGGACTGCAGGCCCCACACACCCCTCAGCCAGGTCCCTCCCCTACACAAGTCACAATTTGTACAATCGTATGCAGTGGCCTTATACCTTTACCTGACATTTCACTCATCTTATTGAACAGGCATTGTTACAAACTCTCCAGAGCAGATTATAATCCCCTTGAAGCCAGAGGCTATCTTAACAGTCATTGAGATAAAGAATTATAGTATCTTTAAACTCTTCCACCTTCCCATCCACAGGGCCCTACAAAAAATTATCAGATTATCTCACTACACCCTTTAATGTATCTTACTTATGTACGGTTATCCCGATAGCCACAGTCCTGGCTTTAAGGCAATTAAGACTCAGAAAAGCCTTCTCAACAAATCAAACACCATGTGCAGCCATGTTTCTTTAAATGCTATCTTAAAGTCCGATTCTTTGGCAAGCCTTGAATAACTGAGTCAAATTACTCAATTAAGCAAAGCACTCTCTTACCTGTTTAGACTACCTCAGTGGACATTTGGTGCATGTTGCCCTTGGTTCTCACAACTATTGCTTCAGTCTACACAAGTTGGTGCAGAAAGTTCATTACCACAGGTTGTGTTTGGATCCCAGGCCTGATCTCTTAACAAGAAAGGATCTGTTCCCACAAGTGGATGCTTGCTCTTCCTGAAGCTACCTGACATTCTTAAACACCCACAAAATGCATGAGTCAATCCTGAAAGACTTCTGAGATTAGGATTCCAAAGTATTCTCTGACAGAAGTAGCAGAAAGGTTAGCATTAAGGAAACAATTTACCACTTTTAAGGTATAGGTACACGGAAGTCACCTCAAGGGAGGTTGTACAAGGCTCCACCAACAAAACCCAGCTGCTTCTCTTTGAGCCAACTCTTCTGGGTGTCTGTGTGACACAGATAAACTTTACCCTAAAAGTGTCCTAGTAAATCTTAAGCCAGCAGGGATTTGTAAGTTGTTTCTAAAGAAGGTAACAAAGATAGGTTTACAACTTACTTAACATGGTTTTAAAAACTTTGAAACCCATTTTTATTCCTTTGGACATTAGACTAATATCCTTGTGGCATCAAGTCACTGATCACTGGTCTCCAAGGGAAAAAGAGACCTTACATGGAATACACCTGTCTTCACACCTTTCCTTAGCCA